CAGTTATTATCTAATTAACTCGGGGATCGCTGTTGTTTCCTGGAAGGAAGCTGGGACCTCGTGGTTAGGTAGCTTGTGTTTTAGAGTTCTAAATTTGCTATCCCGTAGAGCGTTTCGCTCATGTACTCCACTCCCACAGCTCAAGAAACTCCTTTGCTTACAGCGACGCAAGGCGTGTAGGCGATCCTTAGAATCAACACACCTCTCTTGTGCATCTCTTCTTTGATCTGCTTTGGAGGTGGAGGACCGTAGTCATCCTCAGACGATCTGAACATTCTCTTCACCAACACACTACTGAAACACAAAACGGTTGCGCAGACATTATAGCTGATAAGGCGGCACACTGGAAGGGTTCTTCCTCACAGCTCTTGTTTCCTGCATTCAGCTGTAGATTGGGGCTCCTTCTGTGTGGAGTTTGCATGCTCTCCCTCAATCCAAATGTGCTTTCTCCTAGTGCTCCAGAGAAAAGGTCCAAATACATGCTCTCCTAGCGAGTTCACAAGGTGAACTTGCCTCCCAATTTGTGTATGTTTGTTCCCTAGAATGGGCTAAGATGTCTTTGCACCCTGTGGGCTGTGCCTGTTGGGTGAGTATCTGCCTTACCATGACTCTTCCAGAGCGAAAGCTGTTATTGAAAATGAATGGAAGATTTACAGTGAATCCTCATTCAGGGAGCTCCTGAGTGGATCTAAAGCACTATATAGTGATTTTTAGGGGTTTGGTGGTCTAATAAAAAAGAAAGAAATTGCAATATCACAGCTTACCCCTCTCTCTCCATTTCTTCTGTGTTGAAAGCAAAGACCTGCAATGAAAAACAAAAATCTAATTTCCACACCCGAAACACACTGACGACTTAGGAAGACTGGGTAGTCTAAACATTCTTCCTCGATTGCCAATCGGTTTTTTAAAGCATTATGTTTACCAGCATGTAAAATGCGTTCTCATTAAAGCCTGGTCTGGTGGCACTTATAAGGGTCACTAATCAGCAATCACTGACAAGGGTTTTTAAACGACGTCAATGGTATCAAGAAAATGGACCAGAGTTTGCCAATTTGAATGACACACACTCCTTGCCATGAACTGAAAATGCGGAGCCCCCTGTTGGCTCAGTAAAATGGGAGGCTTCAGGACAGAGGCAAAGAACGTTTCTCAGTGGAATCAGTCCAGAGAAGATGAATCAGTCGTGGGA